TGTCTGATAGTTTCTTTTGGTAGTATTATAATAGTTATAATATAGTTATATGTTAAAATAAACATTAATTTTATAATAATTTTATAGTTGTTTTATTGTCTATAGAAACTGTATTGTAATGATTGTCTATGTTTTCGTTCTTAATTTTGCTTGTATATATCATTTTACATCAATTTACCTTTTTCTTCTTTTTTTCTTATTGTTTCCTCAACAATTATTTAAGTTGGCAATTTTATTTATTTTTTATTGACCGTTTTTGACATTGCATTACAGGCGATTTATGTTTCATGGTATTGTGTTTGTTTATTTTGTGTTTATTTTGTTCGTTTTTGAAATTATTGGTAAAAATTGGAAATACGTACCAATAGTTTATCACATTTGCAATGTAAAAAGCGATTTTGATCATTAACCGCCGTTTTTTGTTTTTTATTAAATTTTGGTTTTTAAAAGTTTAGATAGTTCCTTGTTATTGAAATACGAAGTAACGAAACTGGGCGTTCCTTTGAAATGAAAGGAGCGCCCAGTTATAAAACTTTGTTTTATAAGGAACCATTTTAACTTGAAAAGATGTAAAACAATAATAATTTAGAAAAATTTTGGCATGGTATTTTTTTCAAAAATGATATTATATTGGCCTGAAATAAGAATTTTCTTCCCTAAAAAAATCAGTGAATAATTTTTTTACCAGTTAAATTGTTGTTTTCAAGTTTAAATAAGAAAAAATTGAAATATAAAACAGTAAGAAAACAATTAATAACAAATAATTTACTTAAGAGCAAATTTGTTATTCTAAATTTTATTAATGATTATAATAAACGCCCGATCTTATTAGCGTCAGCAGTGCTTTTTACTTATTTTATTTGATATAGTTAATTAATTATATTGTCAATTGTTAGTGCTTAATTATGTCGAAAAGTCTATTGATCTTTTCTTAGTTTTTTGCTTTAAAAAATAAATTGTGTTATCAAACTATTAAATTATAATTAATTATATTAACAGTTCTACTATTCATTTTTAGATGAAAATATCAACTATAATATGATTTTAATAGTTAATTACTATAGTTTGTAGTTTGAGAAAACCCATAATAAATAAAAATACCAACATACTTTTCATATAATATACTTCATAAAGATTCAACGGGACACAAAGAGTAGATATGCCGCAACTGTCGAAACTTGTTGAACTCGGCGAGTTGCGGCGTCGTGAATCCGTCTCCGGAAGATACAAGACATAAAGAGGAGATGCCTGAAAGACTACAAACATCAAAGATGTCCTAATCGAGTGTTCGTTCCAGTGTTAGGTTTGAAGGGTGAAACCCGTTTTTTCCTGTCTGTCCTGCCTTTCAAAAAGGACAGATTTTGTTACAACTTGTGTACATTAATTTGAGTTGCGGTGACGTGGCAAATTACAAATATGGCACTATTGGAGTCAATGTGTTGCAAATATTTGATTAAAAATAAAAAAATGACAAAATGTCAGTTAAGTTGAAAGACAACAACACTCTTTGGTGTGAAATTGACGTTATCAGTCAACTCATTTCGTTTGGCGGTGTAAGTGTATGGGCTGCAATGACTACCATTTTAACCTTTTTTGTATACAGCTATATCACCACACTAAGTACCACCAAATGAAAAGAGTTCTGAAGTGTGTTGAGAATTCAGCCAAAATTCGTAATCGGTGTTTTTTTCAGTCTTACCAAACTTTTTTGGATTCAAAGTGCCGTTTCTCACAAGTGAAAATATGTAAGAACTGCCACTGTTGATATAATCGTCAACTTTATTTATTTTGCCTGTGTACACACCACCAAACTTGTTGTGATTTGTGTCTTCTATCAAAAAGCACAAATTGCTTTTGTTCATTACTTTTTCATCAAACACCGACGTGTTTTGTGACCAGTTGTCTTTGTCCGAATCAAACACAACATTCGCAATCTTCATTACTGTCAACTTCTCAAGACTGGCTTCTTCTTCAAGTGTGACGTGTTAGCTCCTTATTTTTTCAACTTCTTCTGTATCGTTGTTTTTTTGAATTGATGAATTTCTCCGATTTCTTTATTTCATCAATTTTAGTGTTGTATATTTTGCACTTCTCCTCATAAAGTGCTATTTTGATGTTGTATATCTCATACAACTTCTCGTTGTCATTTTCTGGTGAGTACAAAATTATCTCACTTTTGATTTTGTTGGATGCGTTATCCAAATCAGTGACGATTGTGTTGAGTGATGTTGTGATGTTTTTCTTTCTATCAAACACCTCATCGAGTCTGTCGAAGTGTCCCTCTGCATTTTCAATACGTTGATCAATGTCAAGTGACTTGTCGTCAACAAAGTTGTATACCTTTTTATTTTTGTTGAAGTCTAACACCGCCTTTGCTGCGTTAGTGCAGAGTGCTGAGAGTGCTGTCAACTCGTTTTCCATGTATGTTAATAGAGTTTATTTGTTTTTATATTTAATTTTATAAAAATTTCATTCAAAATGATCATAACCTCGTTCAAAAATGATTTTTTTCAAATAAAATCAAAAATAAAATCATTCAAACTTACATAAATGATTTTTATTTAAACAAAAGTATTTAAAATATGTAATTAAATTCAAAACTACAGAATTATAAACGTAAAAGTTTTTTATTTATTGAAACAGTGCCACCAAAAAAAAATTATTGGAAGTGAATTTAGAAACTTTTGTTCCAACCCATCAATATTTTAAATGTGATTGTGGAAAAAATTAATTCCAATAAATAAATAACATTTTAAGGTTTATAGAAATGTTATTCGATAAACCTTCAACGATAAATATATAACGTCAGTTACAAAAATATAGTAGGCAAAAATAGCAACAAAAAAATGACCAATTAAAGGATTTTGATAAAGTTTGTAAGTTTACAAAAACAGAGTTTATTTTTGAAACATTATAAAACGGGTTTAGGAAAACTGGCCTCAGTGAAAACTGGCCACGTAGAAAACTGGCCACAATATTCAATAAAGTTCAATAACAATTCAACGTTTTATTCAAAAACAAAACCAATATAAAATTAAATTTGTATTATTTTTTGGCTCTTTTAAGTTCCTTGAATATTTTGCTTTTTCTTAATGGTCTGGATCCTTCTCTTGTTTTCTTTTTGTGGATAGGTTTTGTTTTTTCAGTTGTTGAAGTACATTCATCTTCGTTTATAACATATTTTACTGAGCTTTTTTCTTTGAAATCTATTTCAACAACTTTTTCCAAATTGTGTTCGGCTTTATTACCCATGTTTGTTTCAGCTTCGAGCCTTTCTACAAGGTCGTTTTCTCTTAATGTTTCTTCAATAAGAGTATCAATATCACAATCGAGAAGTGTATGCATTTTCGAAGCACCAATAATAACAGATACTTTTTCAAGAAACTCAAGTTGATCCATTCCATTCATCAATTCAGTTGTCAGTTGTTTTATTGTTATGTTTTTCATTGCAACAACACGCTTTTTCCTTGTTAATTGCAAATTTGTCGTCAACGAAAAATAATGAATGTCAACACGTTTTATATATTCCTTTAAATAGTCAACAAATTTGTGTATATTAGGTGTTTTTGTTAATACTAATTTATTTAAAGAACTGTGAAAACTTTCTGCATTATTGTTTGTTCGTTCTTCAATACCAAATAAACACCAATTGTCAACTTTAAAAACGCCGTTTATGTAATAATTTTCAAAGTGTTTATAAATAACACAAATGTCGGCGTCATCTTTATAAATTTCTTTTAATTCATAAAATGTTGTGAATATCATACTAACCGGCATAAACGGTAAAGACATCAATTTCCTGATTGCACTTTTAAACTCGTCTCCGTTTTTATAACGGTGTTTAAATCCACAATAAGAATCTTTCCGAAATATATTCTGGCAATAATGAAAGTGACAACACTTTACTTTGACTTGTTTAGGAAACAAATTCTTAATAAAACACAACTCAAAATCTCCCATAACAATCATTTCTCTGTTTAAATAATCACTACCAACAACATTTTTCAAAGTTTCTAAAAAGTTATAATACACTTCAAAACTTTTTCCTTTTAGACACCTAAAAACAATCGGAAAACATTCACCACTGACAAGCCCGTGTATTATATATAATTGATAAAAAAGAGCTATTTGTTTTTGTATTATATTATTATAATAAATTTAATTAAACAAACACGGACATGATCTAAATGTGCCATCAAAAAATAAAACTGGAGAAGGTTTTTAACAACTCAACATAATCTTGTTTTCCAAAAATTATCATATCATCATCTTGATACAATACAATTTCTTTTTCTATTTCGGAAAATTCTATGTCTTGTGTTTTGGTTACAGAGTATGGCTGTCTTTCCTTTCTGACTTGTTTTTCACAGACAGAAATTCTTCGAGTTGTTCCTTGAATGTATTGCTCTACTACTATTTGTTTTGTTGTCTTGTTTTTGGAATCTTCTTTTTTAACCGCTTCTTTTAAACGTATTCGAAACAAATCATTTAAATAATCGACATAATCATGTGTGTGAATTGTATCATTTAATAAAGTGTATTTATAATTTCCACTCTCAGTTTTAACCAGTTCGATTCTAACTTTACAACCTTTGTGAGAACATTTAATTTTTATTCGATCCTTTTTTTCGGGTTTGAATTTGCAGCCATTTATGTAAGGCATCTGATAGCCTCTTTGACTTTCAAGAAAAGCAATTTCTGGTATTTCTTCCATTTAATTATTTTTCAGTTTATCGTTTTTATTAAAAAAACAAATGAGAAAAAAGTTGAATTGTTATTGAACTTTTATTGAATAATGTGGCCAGTTTTCCTCATGGCCAGTTTTCACTGTGGCCAATTATCTGTCTCCCTTCAAATAATGTGTGATGTCTATTTTTGATTAAAATGATTAGCCATTTTTCACCGCAATACACCCGTTATGTAGGACATAATATGGCTGTTGTATCTCACAAAAATGAAGATTCTATAAAAGTAAGCATCTTAATAATCACTCGTTAAATACATATGCCAAAGAAGGGAGGAAAGAAGGGAGCTGCTGCACCAAAGGAAGCCGCACCAAAGGCTGCTGCCACCGAGAAGAAGGAAGAGAAGAAATAAAAAGTATTCTAATTCACTACTCATTTAAAATATTATTATCTTTAAATATTATGAATAATTTTACATCATCATTAATTTTTAATATAAAATTAATTAATTATCAACATTTTGCAATTATTATTTAAAACAAGAACAAAAAACATGAATAAATTTATAATCATCAACATAAACATTATTTAATGCATTATACTATTGAAAATGATAACAATATTCACTCATGGATACTTGAAACACTTTGTCATTTTGTAAATGAAATATAAATATTATCATAACACACTGACACATCTTAATTTTGAGTCGTATTTTAAAATTTTGGTTGAAGTTATATTAGGTACTCCATAAAAACAGAACTCGTTGTATTTAATTGTTTTGGAATATAAATTGTACATAGTTTAGGAGAATTGCCAAAGCAAAAGTAGCCAATTTTTATTGTATTTTTGGGGATACGAATGTTAAAACATTTACACTCCCATAGAAACATGCACATCCAATTTCAGTAACATTCTGTGAGATTCTGACTGAACTAATAATTGCACATCCATAAAAACAAAACTTCTCAATTTGACAAACAGTTTCTGGAATATTAACATGACTTAATTTGGATAAGTAACTAAAACAAAAATCTTGGATTTGAGTGATGATGCTCAGAATTTGAAATAAAACTAAATAAATACATCCATACAAACAACACTTCTCAATTTAAGATACATTAACATAGATGTCAAGTACATTCAATTTAGAACAGTTATAGAAACAAGAGCCAAGTTGAAAAACCGAAGTTGGGATGTTAATTGATACCAAATTGATACATCATAAAAATTGATTTTCCAAATTATAGTAAAACTTAAAATTGTCTAAATTTTGGAAAAATTGATTTTCCCAAAAATTTCAGACAAAGTTATCTAAGACAAATTTAAACAAACACAAAAAATTCTTCTTCCATTTTTGTCACATTTGATGGGATTTGAATTGTATTGAAAATTGTAACAAAAAATAATACAACAGCTTTTTATTTTTTCAATGTTTTAATAGAAATTGCAATTTATCTAAATTTAATGTTTTATTAAAACATACACACCCAAATATTTAAATTTTTTATGTAACTATTTGTTTAAAAAATGAGTTTGAAAAAGAGTTAATAAAAAAAAATAATAAAAATATATTAAAAATATATTAAAAAATATAATAAATTATAAAATTAAACAAAAAGATATTATATAATAAATATAATAAAAATATAAAACAAGAATAAAATATAAAGTTTAAATAAAAAGTGAATTAAAAATTAAATATTTAAAAAAATTATATGTATAAAAAATAAAAGAAATAAATTAATGTAATTTTCATCTTTACTATAACTTTGTTGTTGTAATTTTCAACTTTTTACTCATATTTTCTTTTAAACATTAATTTTGATTGTTTTTTATTGAATTTAATTTTTTGTTGAATTTATTTTTTTATTCATTTTGTAATAAATATCAACTTTAAACATATCTTTTCGTCTTTGAGTTTTAATCCCGTTGACGGTCACAATTCAAGTCTTTACTTTGAATTTACATTCAAAATCGTAAATTTATTCATAATGAATACATTTTCATTCAACTACATCATGCTGACTAATTTGTCAAATTTGTTTTTTGAATTCTATTTTTATGAGTTTTTTATGATTATTCATCCAATTATATTATTTCCTTACATATTATTGTTTGTAAGCTTAAATCTGGCATATTGAAAAACCCCATTTTTGTTCCAAAAAGCAAAACACAATTTACAAAAAAGTTTGGTAATAAAAAGTTTTAATTGTCATTTAGAAAATAATCAATTATCACAATATGAATCAATAATTGCAGATAATACAGGATCGGTTATCTTAACATTGTGTGTAAATTTATCATCGTTTTCTAGTGGAATTTCAAGAGTACAACAAAAAGCAACTTTCAACGTGTGAACGTGATAATTGGTACAGTTTTGTTCTGACACAACAGAAAATGCATTTTGTATCAATTCTATGAATACCGCACCATCAATTTTATCAACAAGTGGATTTGTGGTTTCTGCATTAATGTGTACACGTTCTCTTTCATGTTGAGTTTCCAAGTTTCTCAGTTCAATTTCCAAATTCCTTGCATCATAAACATCTCCGATTGCTGCAGCACTGTGTTTGTTAATTGTCTGCTCAATCAACTCTTGATACCTTTTCTCTAACAGGTTATTCTTTACTATTGTCAATCGCTCCGCAAACAACAATCTGTTAAAATATAACCTAGAAACGTATGCTTTCGCTTGTGAAAACGATCTTTCGATGGCATTGCACTGTGGAGAATATGGTATCGTTTTTAGAACGAAGATCTTCTTCCAAAACAGTTGATTTAGGCCTCTAACTTGATTTTTTGCGTTATCCATCACCACTACTATTGTTTCACGATGACTAAAAGTATCTTCAATCAAGGAATCCGTTTATGTTCACACCAAACGAGAAATTCTGAATTGTGATAAGAACCAAATTTGGTTTCAACTCGCATACCAACACCTGGTATCAAAGCAGCAAGTGAACTGTAATTTGGCTGTTTTGTTTTTTCTCTCACCACTTTAACTGATTTTCCGATTTTCAAATAACCATAATTCGTTTACTGACCAATGTAAAATCCAGACTCGTCAACATATACAAATTTACATCCCTGTTTTTCAAGTTCGATAAACGTGCTTCCCCAAATTTGTCTCTTTTTTATATTGAGTGAACTGTTTCTTTCAATTGGTTCTTTGCTTATCCTTTTAAATAAATAACCCATTTTCTTTATGAGAACATCTACTGAAGTTTCTAATAATTTGGTTATGTTTGGATTGTTATTTGATTCGTTTTCAATTGCTTCAGCAATTTTTTTCAAAGTTAAAGTGGCTCCTTCATTTATCAACTTTTTAATTAAAAGTGTGGTTTCCAATGTCACAGATATTTTTTGTCCTTCCTTTCTTCCTTTTTTAGATCCGATAACATCTATTCCGTTGTCAAATCGTTCCAAGATTCTTCTTGCTGTTCTTTCTTTAATTTCAAATAGTTTCATTGCGGTTTCAAATGTACAGATTTTTTGTGTTATACTTTTAACAAATAAAAGATATCTTTCTTCTTTTTTTTCCTTCTTTAACTTTCTTGTTGACATCTTTTTCCGTGTAACTCTTTATTAATGCTGTGGATGACATGACAATATCAGTTTGTTCTTCAATATCGTTGTTTGAGTTGACAGGTCTCGCAGTTGTCAATTTTTCCTTTAAATTTTGAAAGAGATTTCTTATTATTTGATTTGCATTAAAGAAAACAGTTCCCACTCCAAGGGTGTTCAACTGGTTACTATTAAGTAACCTCAAATTCATGCGTATTCTGTTGTCTTGATAGTTTTGCATTTTTCGTCTGTGTTTTCTTCTTCTATTTCTTCGACTTCTTCTTCTTGAAATCTTCTAGCCATTGTTTTTTAGATGTTTTTTAAAGCAAAAAAGTATTTTTGTAAAAGACTGTAAAATAAAAGAAAAAAGAAAAAACGAATGCGGGGTTCCTAAATTCATTTATGCCAGATTTAAGCGTACAAACAATATATATTATGATAAAAAGTTTCAATTCGATAATTTTTCATTTCTTTTATTTTTTAATCTTTATTTCCATAACATTTTGTATTTATTTAAATATATAATGTTTTAATGTTTTTATACTTTATTGTTTTAATTTTTGCAGATTATGGAAATAATATAATATGTTAAAATTTATTTGTAGTTCATTTCGAATAATTAGACAAATTTACAACTCAACTAAGGTAGAAAACAAAATGTTTAAAAGCTTTAATTTACAAAAATCTTTTTAATTGTTTTAAAATATATACTTAATTCTAATTCATTTTAAAATACAAATAACGAATTTTTACTTAAACATAAATTAATCAAATTGGTAATAATAATTTGATTCTTTGGTTAACACGTCATCTCTTTTGTGAATTCCACAGAAACGCCCCATCCACAGACAACAATCTGGACACAACAAAGGACATTTATTTCCATCTTTAATTCCATTAAAAAAGCTAGATAAATAAGTTAATACAACACCAACAATGAGTGGAATAAACGCCTTCATATAATCTATTTTCAAATTATCCTTATTAAATTTCACAACATAACACAAACACAAAGTTGTCAATAAAAGTGCGAACGAAACAATTCCAACAACCGACACATAAAATGATTCGAAACACCCCGGAATACCCCTTTCTTTGTAATTCTTTCCAAAAATAGTATCATTATTTTCGCCTCTATTGATTCGGAATATGAAAATAATGAATATGGCCAACCAACAACACCCACTGATCAACTCTCCAATTACAATCAGGACAAATATTAAAGAAATGAAAACGATACCACTTGTGTACCCAAAGATATCAGGTCTTATCAGTTTCACAAATAAAAGAATAATTTAAATGATGACACCTGGACACATTAAAACGGACTTACACAACGAAAAACAATGAAAATAAATACGAACTCCAGTTGGTTTTGTTCTATTTTGTTTCGCATCAATAGGAAGATATTCATCGTCTTCTTTCTCACAAAAATTCACAAGAAAACCACACGAAAGAAAATTCACTACAAATTGTACTAAAAGTGGTCGTAAAACATGTGATATAGAAAATATGTCAAATGAGTATATAACAAACAAGACCGTTGTTATAAAAACAACGAATGGAAATAACGCAGTTGCTCCAAGATGTGGAAAATTCACGAGAACTGCGAGAAAGTATAAATAGAGTGGTGTCGGGTAAAATACAAGTTCAGTGGGTTGCTTAATATTGATATCGGTAACATGTATCATACAATTCAACCAATATACTCCGATATAAACGTCAATTGAAAAAGGGAGTAATAACAAAGAGATATATCCAGTGTTAATATCAATAACACCATCAAGGGAAAGGGGGTATAACACACTAAACGCTAACAAAGATGAAAACGTGAATACATCTACTATGTGATTTGTAAATATAAAAAATAAGAGTGCGTGTAACTTCTTTTTAAAATAAATGGTCCATTTTTTGCTTCTGCACACCTTGTTCGATATTTGAGCTGCATTATTGATGTTTTGAAGTGTATAAAAAGTAATAAATGAATTTCTATCAAAAGCTTGTTCTTTGGAAAGAGTTTTATATATGATGTCATCGTTCTGTAATTGAGAGTATGTGGAACATGTTTCTGTTATTGAGAAATGTACGAATATCACTACGAAGTGCTATTTCTTTCACAACTGAGAGAGGTAGTGTTATATGAGTTGACATCTTTGTTTTATTTCTTATTATTAGTTACTTGAAACTATTTTTATAGTAAATATAATAATTATAATTTGAAAAAAACTTGAAATACTTTTATACTATCGCTATATTATTATTATTAACATTTTTATAAAATTTCAAACGACTCAGATGTTAAAATATATAGTTAAATTATAATATAATAAAAAAAATATTATTTTATTAACATAATAGTATCTGAATTATGATATTTATGTAAATCAAAAAAATCATGTTTTTGTGTTTAAAACTTTCATGATCATTTAATAATTGGTTTTGATGAATGTTAAGATTATATTATGTTATGTTCGTTAAAGTTGGTTTTTTAAAAAAATAACTTACATAATTTATTATTTTTTATTGTATTTTAAACAACAACAAATACTAATAAATAAGTTTTGTGTAACTACAAAAAAATAAAAAATGGTTATAAAAGACGGATATCACATGATGATAGTTTCAAAATAATTTAAGACCATTAATGACTTCGTTTCATTTGAATTAGTGAATACTAAATACAGAGGTACCATTTAAATTTTTCACTTCAACCCAATACCACTCGACACAACATCAATAAAGTACTTTGTGGACATTGAGTCATTAAACATTTGGAATACAAAAGAAGAGACCTTTGGTAACGAATTTTAAAAACCAGTTGAAATTACTAGAAAATCTAAAAATCCAAATAAATACATATTTTTCAAAATAGTAGTGTGGTACAATGTCGATTATAACACTTTTGTGATAAACAAAAATTCGAATTTCTTATTCAAAGATGTTACATTCACTAAGAATGACAGACTAAAATATGGATCAACGATTCCAAAAGAAGTTGCATCACTTGGAGTTGATACTTTTCGGTCTTTAAATTCCATCGACTTTATAATTCTTCCCCAAAACGTCACACAAATACATGAAAGGTGTTTCGAAGGTTGTTCAACACTAACTTCTCTCCAAATCACAACAAATCTGATGAAAATAGAACCTGGAGCATTTTCAATGTGTCGAACTCTGAGAAGAGTATTTTTACCATTTCAAACACAATATCATTCCACAGCACAATCTGATAATATAAATGGTTTGTGTATAAACACTATATGTTTATAACAATTTAAATTATTATTAATAAATTAATTATACTATAATACTATAATAAAACAACTCACGTGAAGTAAACATTAATAATTATAATCAACCAAAGAGTTACTTGGGTGGGTGTTGTTTCAATTGTTGTGAATCACTTGTAGAAGTTGGGCTTCCTGATTTCTATGAGTATTATGTAGTGATTGCTTCTCAAAATGCTCAAGTCTTTAAACTATTAAAATATCGGAGAGTGTCACACATCTCAATGATTATTGTTTTAATCAATGCATTTCATTTAGTATAATAGTGTTTAACAAAAACTTGCGATTTATTGGAAAAAGTTGTTTTGCGTACTGTTCTTCACTCTGTGAAATAAATCTCCCACCAACAGTTGAAAAACTTGGAACACTTTTATTTATAGAATGTAAAAATTTGATAGTACTAAGTGTGCCTAATAATACAACGTATGTTGGTGAATACTCCTTTGACCACTGCAACAAACTTTCAAATATAACATTTAACACAAAACTCGTCGAAATTCGAAACAACACTTTTCTTATTGTGGTTGTCTAACAAATGTATTGATACCAAAAAACGTTAAGATTAAAAAGGTAATAATATCCTATTTGACATCAATTTTATTGGAGATTTTAAAGAGAAAAAGTCGAAAAAATATGATGTTCAAGATGATATTATTAAAACCGAACAAAACAACAAGAACATTGAAAAATTGATGGAGGGGTTTGTTCTTAAAAACGAGATTTATAAAGGAGAAATAACGCTCTTTGTCGATCTCCATGTTGAAAATTGTAAAGCCGACTTGAGTCACAAGAATGTAATTTTCGAGCTCAAATTTGGGAATTTTGAAAAGGAAAAGCCGAAGTTTGTGTTGAGAAAAAGTGGTTTATTTTCTTCAAATTTCTATATATCGATGTTGAGTATCAGTAATTTAGTATTAAAAAGGGTGGATATCCCAAGTGTAAATACTTACGTCTTTAAAAGTGTGAAATACGAAATAAACAATTTCGATAACAAAAAGGAGTGTTTTGTGACATGTTTGTCTGATTATAATCACACAGAACGACTTAAAAAAAATCGACATCAATAAAACAATTGTTTTCCCACAAAACAAGATAATAAAATTTGAACCCAAATATATTTGTGATACAGTATTATACACTGTTGACTATCGGGTTATGGGAAATATCCCAAAATTTGAGCTTGTTTTAACATTGATAAACAAAGATGAGGAAAATGTGAAACATACATACTCTAAACAAAAAATAAAAGTTGAAAAAACCATAAAACAAGATGTTTCAGATGAAAGCGATGAAGAATATATTCAAAGTGAAGAAAGTGAAAATGAAAGTGTTGATGAAGCAGATAAATGCTATTTATGGGGTGGTGATTGATAAGTAACAATATTATTGAATATTCTTTGTTTTTATTTTATTTACGTTTATACCATATACCCCAGTAATTGTTATTAAAAAAGATAATAATTGGTATTTTATTAATAATAAAACCTCAAAAATATGAACAAATAAAACAATAATTATATTTAAAAAAACATAAATAAAAATAAAACTATTATTATTAAAAACGACAACTGCAGGATTTGAACCTACACCTCAAATGAGAAATGATTTCGAGTCATACGTTTGACCACTCGGCCACGTTGTCTTAATAAATTTATAAATATGTATATATATTTATTAACATTTAGAGAATAACAACAATCTAATTTTATTTTCATTTTTTTTAAATACTTAAAAACTATTATTTTATTAGAATAATACAAATACAAATAATACTTTAAAATGGCTTACTTGGAATCCCAGTCGTTTTTGTTCATCAACTTATCTTCAATACTGTCTGATATCTTCGATAATAAATCGTCGATTTCCGCTTGAGCAAATTTATTTTTAAATTTTCGAGCCGATCCACCACCCACCGATTCTGGGAACAGTTTACCACCCAGCCATTCTTGTGCTCCAGAAGTAAGTCCCTCGAGCCCTCCTCCAATCAGTGAGTCACTTATTGTATCTTTGTTGATATCTCCCGTAGCCGCTGAGTATAATAAATTCTCGAGAGCTCCTGTACCTCCAATCGCAAGTCCTGAGTATACTGTGCCAAGTCCACTTGTTGCAATTGCCCCTATAATAGCACCAGCACCAGATTTAATAAGTACTGCAGTCCAATTGATGTCATCTCCATTTTTTAGTTGTTGATACACTTCCAACCCTCCTTCAAGCATTACATTAGCTACTGCAAGAACATGAGGCGCCGCCGGTGGGAAGAAGACTGAAATTCCAATTGATGCGATTGTGATACCTCCAATGATTGCAATTTCACCCCAATCTATTCTTTTAACTGACTCGCCGAAAATGTGGGTCTGGGCTTTCACAAGATCTGTACTCTGAAGAGGGAGCCATGCACTCAGTTTATGAAGAAAGCTGTTGTACTCTGATTGACAAAAAGCCATGTCTGAACACTTCTTAATGGACTTCTCAAGTCGACTGAAAAAGACGCCCCAAGCCGTTTGGACCATCTCCAAAACGATGTCCTGGAACTTTTTTGGAATTTTGAATTTTTGAGAGTAAATTCGCAAAGATATCTAAAACAATTTCAACCATCGCGGCAAATGGAAACATGTTATTTCCCAAACCATATTTATCTTCCTTGTCCGTTATAAATCCACCTGAATTTGTTCTGAAATATTCAGAGAAATACAATCCAAGTTGTCGTTGCCAACTTCAAATTCCGGTGTCTTGAAGTTAAATTTGATGTAATTTTACTTGTTCGAAGTTGTAATTGTGTTGGATGTATTCTCTTTGTTTTGGAAAGTTTATTCGTTTCTTGGTTTTTTGAGACATATTGGGGCATGCAAGGAAATTTCATCGTATTACTATAAGAAACCCGCAACAGTCCAGCACAGTTGGGTCAATACCAACGACGCTGTCTGGTAAAAAGAGTATCAACAGAATGTAAAATTGTTCAAATAAGTTTCCACAAAGTTGTGTGATGTTACCAATGAAAAAAATAGTTTCAACTTTGTTTGTTGGCAGTAGATTAAACCACTTAATTTCACATTTCAAATGTTTGAGTAACAGACAATTGTTAAAAGTGTTTGGTTCAATAGTTGTAACTGAAATCGGAATTTCAAGACGTTTGATGTTAGTCCACACTTCAAAGTCTTTTTTGTAAATGGTTTTTGTACCATCTTTGATACTCACTTTGTTATTCAACAAATATTTAGCATCCTTTATATTAACATTCACAAGCTTTTTGAAGTCCACGAATATTGTTTTGTCCATTATTTTAGTTGTTTCTGGTATGACCAACTTTTCTCAATTGACTAGTTCAAAATTAAGATGGTACAACTCTTTAATTTCATTATTAAGTGTCAACATTTTTATATTTCTTGGATCAAAATATTGACAATGTTTTAAACTGCACTTCACATTTCTCAGTTGTGCGCAACATGCTAAAGCCCCAGGCTGGATAACATCGACGCTGTCTGGTATCGACAAAAACGTTAATGAGTTTATTCCAAACAGTTCTCCTTTGGATATTTCTTCTATTCCATTTGGAATTAATGCAACTTCTATCTTTGAATTTTTCATGACCTGAAACCACATTGGTGCTCATTTGACAAATTTTAAGTGTTTGAGTGTCTGAAATATTTCTGGCTCTATTTCTTGTGTTATTATTGGTATCTCGAGACATTCGATATTCTTGTAATTTGAATAATCTTTTAACATTATTTGTGTAAGGGAACTATCAATGTTAAGTTCATCTAACATTAATTTAAATTGCATATGATTTAATCCATTAAATGCATTTGGTTTGCAACCTTCAAATACATCGGTTACGATTGATGTCACACTTTGAGGAGTGGTGATTGGTTTGAGTCGAATACATCTTGCAAATACTTTTCATTCAAAGCTTAAAAGTGTATTTGGGATTTTCACATCCTAGAGATGAACACACCCTTTAAAACATTCTTTAGGTATGACTGTTACAAAATCTGGTATGTTTACTCAAAACAACAACTGTTTGTTTATATACTTCACGAATATTGGGTCTCCAGAAAATTAGGGGATATTAGTTTGACTTTTATGATATATTATATTAAAA